AAAGGTCCGCGCGCGCGATATTGGAAATGTTTTCTACACTTTTTACAGACACGGCGGTAGTTGTCCGCCGAGTGTTCTGTAACCACGCCGCGTGAAAAAGGTGTACAAGTCGCACGCCATGTGTATCCTCTCTGCATTGTATTCAAGATAAAATACGGAATATTATATAATTCCCATTGCCTTTCCTCACAGCCACATATTCCTTTGAGGAATTTTTTTTTTATTAAATACACTGTGATGATATCTTTAATTAGATTACCACGATAGAAATTAAGTTGTGGAAGATATTTTAAGATTTTGTGTAACTTATTCTGATAAACTTGTAATTTTTTTATATTAGTTAAATTCTTATGATTTTGATTTCGCTCGCTGCAATATTTTTATAGGCGACGAGATCGAAACACCCTATATATTACGGCACGCGGCAGAAAGAACGTGGCGTTCGAAATGCGTGAAAGCGTGCTTTATATTCGCATAAAGAGCCGAAGTACATGTTGTCAGGCGTAAATGTGCGTATCACACACCCGGGGGCTCTAACAAATAGTTCCGGTTATCGGTGCTTCTGCACCGACTTAGGCTCTCCCGTTCTGTCTCTCGCACGCTCTGCATGTTGCATCGTTAATAAACTCGTCCAGAAGGAGAGCGTGCGCTCTCGAAGGCCAAGTTTAGATGTCCGAATTCGTCGGAGAAGATGGATACCAGAAGGAGCTTGCTGCGCACGTAAACTATGCAGAGTTAACTTCCCGAAAGATATATACGCTCCGTGCGTCAAACGCCCTGTTCGTTCACGAAATTGTGCTACTCCATATCTCGGACGGAAGTTGCTTTGCCGCCGGGATATCTGGCGAGTGCATAAATTATTGTTATTAAAATAAATTCTTTTCGAAAAATACGCGGTAAAAATAGAAACAAACTTAGATGCACCAGACGAGCTTGTTAAATATTTCCTTATCATTTATACATAACTAAGAAGTATTAGCTTATTCATTTTTTGCTAAATTTATTAAATTCTACAAAATTAATACAAAAAAATGTATAATCTGTCATTTTTAATAATGTATTATTTTTTAACTTATTACTTATACATTATTTATACTCTAAAATAGATTCTTGAGATAAATTAAAAATTAAAATAGAGTATCGGATTACAGTAAAACTAAAATTAATTATAGACACTTTATATGCGTCTCCTTTGCACGAAAAGAAAATCGTTACCATCAGACCTTCGACATTCTTCCTGTAATAAAACTCCGCGTGAAACCTACGTTAATCTTGTCACTGCAAAATTTTTTATAACGATCGTTAAATCAAGAAATTAGCATAATTGAGAAGATTCCACGGGCAACACGTGGAATTTATGTGCGATGATTAATTGCGACAGTGTTTATCGCAGAGTTAGCATACAGCTAAATCTCACGGCGAGAGCTGTTTCCACGAAACGACGACGGAAACTCTTTCGAACGATGATGCAAGGATCATCGAGAGGCAGCGGATGAATCTCAACGGGTCGTTTCTCGTACCTTGTTTTTCTTAGCACCGCGGGACGACGGGCGGAGGCGAGGGGGGTAAGCGCGAGCACGGTGAATTTATGATTAATGCTCGTGAAACGAGCGATTTGATATAAAACCCAACACTATCTGACCGCCGTCAGTTTTACCATCTAACGAGGGAGCATAACGCATACCTTATCCATACCTCACCATAAATCTCATCGCGCGTTTTGATTTACGTACCTTTAGGAGCGTTTGCGAGGAAACGCGCGATATCACGGCGGGCTGCTGCTGCTGCTGCGCTCGCGCTCAGCTTACGCCTCACTGCTTGTCCCTTTTTACGAGCCCCGGATGTAACCCCGATCTTCCCTCGCCGCGGCGAAAATCGAAAGCCTCAAGGTGACGGATTGACAGCGGACAAATCGCCATTTTAACGCGAGAAGCGCGCCTTTTCACGCGTATCGACGCGTTTTTCTCTCGTGACCCACACACCGAGGCGAAACCGAACGATCGACCTCATCTCTTCGTGGCGATTAATCGAGCGAGAGCGAACGCAGATAAACGGCTTTAGTGGAAAGGATTTGCGGAACATTAATATGTATAAACTTTTAATTAGCTGTCGCGATGCTGACGGCGAATGGATTACGCTTATGCAAGCGCGCGTGCTATTCGCAGAAACTAGTTATGAGCGAGGATAGACGTGGGAGAGCAAAAAGAGCACGAAATTTCCATAAAAGAGGAGTGTATCGTAACCCAAACAACGCTGGCCAGCGGCCCGTATATCCCAGAGGCAGCAGGGGCAGCAGGTTTTAAAAGTGATTCATTGCCGTGGTCCCTCCTACCTCCCTCATATTACCTCTGCTTTATGCAATACATTAATGGATATTCGTTTCGTTGAATAAGTTTTATGTACAATAGTTCCCCGTATCGCACTCGCCGATACACCAGCAGCCCGCAGGGCCAATTTCGATATATCATATCGCGATCCTCCGTGGTATTGGTCACGCATTTCTCCTCTTCAAAAAAAAAAATGAAAAGACGAGAGATAGATGAAAGACTAGGAATTTTCCTAACATCGTCACCAAAGTGTGATCAGGTATAGTTATTCTTAAGATGAAGCAATGAGATAACGATTGGGCGAGATACGCGTGAAGCCTGGTAAATGCGACGGATGAATAGCTTAGACGCTCGTTGATGATTACATGATCGACGTGTGCGTTCATTACGGCGCGGCGCAATTGCGCACTGCGCGCGCTACGATTCATAATAACGCATTCTCTGTAATATTGTCAGACAGAGCGGCGCGCGGCGGGGTCGTGTCGAAGGGAGATCGCGATAATACCCGTCGTTGACGAGTTCAAGCCTCCAAAGCGAACTCCATAACGAAGCGAAAATCAAAAGCGCATACATCTCTATTGAGAGGCGCATCGGGACCTCGCTTCCGCGCAGCTGCGGCGCGGCGGATGCATCTCGCCGATGCATGGTGCATTTATTTCGTTATACCGCCGCACACGCCAATCGGCCGTATCGGGGATTCGAGCCACACACGTAGCTCGGCCGGGACTTCTCCTCCCTTAATTCCCAACGCGAGAGTACAACATGTACGTCGACCGTGGCGGACGGCGTCTTATAAATAGCGACGCCCGCGTCGAGGCGCTAGCAGTTAACAAACGGTAAAACTAACACTGCCTCCTACGATAACATTTCGCTCCGGTCACGTGTTTTCCGCGGCTCGACTATTATAAGATCCATGACTGCTTCGATTCCTTTCTCTGCCTTTTTCCCTCCTTTCTTCCCCCCCCCCCCTCTTTTTCTCTCTCTCTTTCTCTTTCTCTCGTCGTCTTTCTTCTCTCTTCCCGTCCTTTCTCACTGTAGCCTTTAGCCTTTCGCGCTCCCTCCATTCCCTTTTCTTCGACAGCCTTCGATTCTCCGTCATGGCAGAATTACATTCTTCGAATAATTTTTTATTCATCTGGTTAACTGAATAAAGTTTTATTTATTTGCATTATATACAAACAAAATATTAAAAAAATAAATGATATGTATATCTAAAAAATATTAGCATTATATCACTTGCTTCGCATGAAAATTCAATTACAATTCAATTACAATAAAATCAATAAAAATTGGAAAAATAACAATTTATGTAAATATTAAATATTAAATTCACACTCTAACTCGGTCATATTGATTATCTAAATACATCATCCGAATAAAATTTTATCGAATGTGATATATTTATACGCGGCACACAAAAAGATCTTATTCGAATAGAGTCATCCCTATTTAGATGAATAAGACTCTATTCTTTATTCGTTATTTGTTATTCGTGAATTTATCCGGGCTCTCGAGCCGACACCCCACAGCTCTGCGAGAGGCGTACCGGTTTCGAAACCGGGTATATCTCTAGCGAACGATCGAAGCATCGACGTTGATTTATGTACGAGACATTCGAACGCTACGCCCTTGCTCGTTAAGGTCGACCGAGCGAACGAGCCAGCGGGCCAGACGCATCCCGCGCCGACCGGCTATTTAGGCATCGATCGCCGACTCGGACTTTTACGAAAGAGCGGATACACGCGGTGGTGCGGCTCGCCCCGGAGTTACCCGGCTGGGTTACCGAAACGGCACCGTGCTGCTTTAATAGTCCGAATTGCAAACGAAGCGAGACTCATGCGTGCGTTCTGCCGACCGATCGCTTCGTCGCCGCGTTCCTCGCTCGGGATTAAATCCGTACTCGGTACGCCCAGTCTCTCCGAAACCGTGATGAATACTCTATCTCCGGCAAATACTCCCTCGTCCTACGAGTTGTTCGCAGAACGAGTTATTAGCGAGAATTGATGTTTGCTCTCTTGATGTTGGGAAACTGTTATTGAATACCGAATGGCTTAGGCCCGTATAACGAATCAAATGTAGGAACCTATAGACTTTCAATGAAACTTTATTATTATTATAAGTATATTTTTAAACATTTAATAAATATATTAAACATGTATTTTACATATATTAGCCCTCCGTTGCCTTTGTACGAGGTAAACTCTCATATCAGAGCAAAATTTATTAAACTTGAGATTGGTTTTAGAGATTAGATTAGTTTTCTTTGTTATGATTGATTAAATTTCAATCCAATCTCAATCCCAATCCGTAGTGTGATATGGGCTTAAGACTGTGTTGATTTGAAAAAACAACGCTGCACTAATACAGTGATACATGTATACTAGTGCACTAACGTTTGTTTACTGAATGAAGGCAATGGAGAGTTAAATATAGAAAATTTCATTTATGAACAAATGTAATGTACGAATTATTGAAAGAGACATAATATCTCCACATTCAATTTTCAGTACTTTTGATTTATAATTGTAGATTCGTAGGTTGAAACTGTAGAGAAATAAAATAGTTCAGTATATTGCACCACACGTCCCTAGTCCTTATACTAATCACAATGCAAGCAATTCCGCCGTAGAAACATTAACAATAAAAGGATATTTTTTTTGCTTTTTGTTGCAGGCTGCCGTTATGCGAGCTATGCAGCCATGAGCCGAACGTCCTTGAGCACGAGACCCGCACGACGGACGAAGCTATTTCCCGCGCGAACAATGACGAGTCTGTTGACGTTGCTAGTGCTCGCGACGACGTTTTCGAACGTACTATCGGAATCGGCGATAAATCCGGTAGGTAGCATCGTCGGGTCGGGGTCAGGAGTTTCGTCCTCATCCGGCTCCTCATCCTCGTCGTCGTCGATGATCGGCGTAGTGTCCGACAGCTCCAGTCCTAGCGGCAACGGAGTTGGCGGTGTCGGAAACGGTAACGGCGTAGGTGGTGTCAGTGGTAGTGTCGGTGGCAGCCATTCCGGTATAAATGGCGGTGGGCATTCCGGCATCGGGAGCGGCAACGGGAAGGGTCGATGCGAGGAGATCACAATTCCCATGTGCCGCGGTATCGGCTACAATCTCACCGCCATGCCGAATGAATTGAATCACGACTCGCAGGACGAGGCCGGATTGGAGGTACACCAGTTTTGGCCGTTGGTCGAGATAAAATGCTCATCGGACCTCAAGTTCTTCCTGTGCTCCATGTACGCGCCGATCTGCCTACCGGAATATACGAAACCGTTGCCAGCTTGTCGTAGCGTGTGCGAGCGAGCGCGAACGGGTTGCGCGCCTTTGATGCAACAATACGGCTTCTCGTGGCCGGAGAGAATGGCATGTGAACGTCTGCCATATCACGGCGACCCGGAACGCCTGTGCATGGAACAGGATAATCACACCAGCACTAGCACAGGCCCCGGGGGTAACGGTGGCGCAGCGAGCAACGGAGTTCCAGGACCACCGGGCCCGCCAGCGCGGCCCACGCGGCCCAGCAAGACTTCGCAGCCAGCCCGCTGCAAGCCGGGCAAGAATCAAAAAAACTGCCAGCACCCCCCGGGGGAGAGGACGAGGGACTGCGCGTGCAGATGCAGGGCGCCCCTCGTGCCCCTGGGGGCGGGTGGCACGGGAATGTCAGGACCGATAAGCGCCGTCAGCGGCGGCGTCATCGGGACCGGCAGCACCGGGGCCAACACGGGGGCTGGCCTGGCCGGCATGACCGTAAGTGGGATAATGCCGGCGCCGGCACCACCATCGATGGGAGGTATCGGCCAAAACATCATCCAGGAGATCGCGGGGGTGCCGAACTGTGCCCTGCCGTGCCGCGGCGCGTTCCTCACCAACGAAGAGCGCGAGTTCGCGGCCGTATGGCTGGCACTTTGGAGCGGCCTATGCGCCGCCAGCACTCTCGTGACCGTAACCACGTTCTTAATCGACACCCAGCGTTTCAAGTATCCTGAGCGACCGATCGTCTTCCTGTCAGCCTGCTACTTCGTCGTATCCCTAGGGTACTTATCGCGCAGCGTGATCGGCCATGAAGAAATCGCCTGCGACGGTGCGGCTTTGAGATCGGGCGCCCAGGGTCCGGGTGCCTGCGTCACCGTTTTCCTCCTGATCTACTTCTTTGGCATGGCTTCTTCAGTGTGGTGGGTGATCCTGGCATTCACGTGGTTCCTCGCAGCGGGTTTGAAGTGGGGCAACGAGGCGATAGCATCGTACTCGCAATATTTCCATCTAGTGGCGTGGCTGGCCCCGACTGTGCAAACGGTTTGGGCGTACATCGCGGGTGGCGTCGCCGGTGACCCGGTAGCAGGAGTTTGCACAGTCGCTCCCGAGGGAGTGCGCAATTTCATCCTGGCGCCTCTGTTTGTCTACCTTTTGCTGGGCACGACTTTTCTTCTGGCCGGTTTCGTCAGCCTCTTCCGAATTCGATCGGTGATCAAACGTCAGCCCGGCGCCAAGGCGGACAAATTGGAAAAACTAATGATACGTATCGGCGTGTTCAGCGTACTCTATACATTACCGGCCGGCGTGGTGTTGGCATGTCATATTTATGAGTCGTCTTTGCGAGACGAGTGGCTCAGCTCGCTGGCATGCCCCTGCCGACCACGGGCAAGACCACTCTACTCCATTCTGATGCTCAAGTACTTCATGGCTCTCGCGGTTGGCATTACCTCGGGAGTCTGGATCTGGAGCGGCAAGACGGTCGATTCCTGGAAGCGGCTATGGAGGCGTTTGTTCGGCGGTGATCGCGGTCACATGGGCGCCGGTGCCGGGATGGTAGCCGGCGTGACGGGCGTCGGCGGTATCGGCAGCGTTGGCATTAAGGGCGTCGTTGGTCGAGGGGTCGCGATGCCGTACCCATCGGCACCGGGTCCTGGCAGTGCCCTGCTGCCACCGGGAAGCGTCGCCAGTGCGTCCCAACATCACCTGCACCATCACGTCCTCAAACAACCGCCGCTTTCGCACGTATGACGTCACCAGTCTGCGGGGGGCGATATGAACACCGCTGGATGCGCCGAGCAGTCGCAAGAGAGACCTTCCGCCCTCAGCAATTACGGGCCCATCTAGCCCTTCGCCTCGGCCTCGCGAAGGTACAACGCGACGCCGCACACGGCGCCGCATACGGCGCCGCACACGCCCCATTCGGCGGCGACCATCTACTCCAGGAGATCGCTCGCGTCCACGACGGGGCCGCTGACGCCGGCACACGGGATCGCGCCCTCCTACACGCAGGCTACGGAAGTGTGAAAGGAATCGCGCGGTGGCGCCCACACGGAGATTGAACGATCTAGCGGCCCGACGTCGGTGTCATCGGACGCATCCTCCGTGCGATGGACGACGAGCGGCCGCGGTGCTTCTCGATTACCCGATATACGTATTAGCCTGTACGTGTCTTCTCCCGCGGGAATCTCAAGGAATCCTCTCTCCGGCTCGGATCATCGACGATTTCTTCGGCGTCTTCATTTTGCAGGTCGATTCAAAGAAACTGTTTTGCGAAAGGATGAATTCTGACGATCGATGAAACGAAGCGGTGCGTTTTGATATTATCAGGGCAGGGAGGGTCGCTCGAGTGCCGCGGTATAGTGAGATTGTGATTTAAAAGAAATATTCAATGAGTGGTACGCAATAATGTATGTGCGTGCATATACGATAGCCGGTGAACGTTGCCGATTGATTTCTCTATCTTTATTCGTATCTATCTATCTGTCTCTAATCTTTCTTACATTCTACGTAAGGCGGTGCTCGTAAAGTCCGCCACCGTGTCCGTCTAACGTGTATCGTCTCGTCTATTTATCTAATCTAGCCATTAAAGAGCCATGTTGGGGATGCACACACATGGATGCGACGTGTGTACGCGAGAAGCGGCAGCCTGCTTTTCTTCCTTTCTCTCCTTTTCCCGGAAGAGAGAGAAAACTGCCACGGTGTTCTCGATATCGCGCGCTGAAAGATATCCCTGAGAGAGGGAGGAGGGGGGTATCCCTCTTTTCTCGTACCAATTCTTCGTCACTGCCACCCTTCGCGATTGCGGGGTCGCGAAATTTTGAAAGTAGTATATTCCAAACGAAAGCAGGCGACCGCTGCTCGCGATAGACGCGCGATGAAGGGAAAGCGAGTGTACAGGACAAAAGCGCTAAAGTAACGAACCAGGCAACTGTAAATACTGTTCTTAGATGTTAGTCGATGCTGTAAATAAAACGGTCGCCAGACTCGTTGTAGGTGTTAAGGCGCGAGGGAGACGATCGCGCTTGTGGCGAGTGCTATGTCGTTTTCCTTTCACGAGTAATTATTAGACAGAACTTGTCGCACTCGATATAAGCGGTAAAGTCTGCTAATTGGTCCGCGTTATGCAATGTTGAACTGGAATACGCCGCTTTCGCCAACTTTCCTCGAGATTAATATTCAACTTGTGACGGTTCGTTGAAAGATTTAATCAGATACACCCCTTTGTTTCATTTAATTAATTAAAATTCGTCAAGTTGTTTCTAACTTACTTAGATATCGAACCGTTAAGACTCGATAAATTTAATCTCCGCTGAATGAAAGTTCGAGATAGGCTGATGAGATCTGGCACATATGTTATTTTGTTGAAATTTTAGTTTATAAATATGTAAATCTCATCGAATCATATACATATAAAAGTTATATATTTTTTAGTTTATGATAAGTAATATAATTTATAATTTCAGATTGCACAACGTGATTCGAATTATAATCAATCTAACAGATTTTAATCTGATTTCACAATGGTAGAATCGAGCGTTATTGTTGCCACGAGCGGACAATCGTCGCGGAACTAGATCCGTACGCGTCCACAGAAGAATGCGTAATATAGATATATTACATATATATATATAGGTCTGCCTCGCGAAGATCACGCGTAATTTAACACACGTTGGTGTACTAGTTCGAATCTTTTTATACCCTAAGTAAGAGCGAGTCGCACTCTCTCGTCGCGTTCGCGTTCATCAAATCGCAATCCGTCGTGCGGAGTCGATTATAATGGAGAGACGCGACGTTTTTTTTTATTTTTACTATACTTCGTGTGATGGTCGGCTCCTTTGCGCACGTGTCGGCGAGGGGCGGTCGACGTGATAGCGTAAGCACGTTAAAAGGGCGGCCGACCCTTTCTCGGGCGCGAAGGAGCGCGGAAGGAAATCTACATTCACCCCGAAGCATAGTAAGTAGAGGAAAATTATGCACGCGCGCGTATGTAATTCTTATGTAAATCCCGATGATCTAGAAATAGTCCCCGAGCGAGATTACGCGCGGGATACAGTGGAAGTAACAGCCCTTAAGTACGTATTATAATACGCGTGACGACGTCAGTCACTAGCAATATCGTTAATCCAGAACCTTTTATAGTACCGGAAAACCCGAAATCGTAGAGAGAAAGCCGGAATCGGAGAATTTTACAGCATCTCGTAAGCGAACTACGATCGGACGTAATAAAATTCAATTATATATGACACAATTCGGGCAAATTTTAGATACTGTAATTTATTGACTCAGGGAGCCTGTTCAAGCCCTGTAAAAATATCATAAGGCAATAACACGAAATTTGATTTTGAGCTACAGATGAAGATGGGAATATAGATAAACCGTATGGCGTGACAATCTTGGATCACTGCCCGCTGTATTTCTTTACGAGATGTTGCGAGCGCAGAGCACAAGCAAAAGGACTGAAAAACGAAAACTGCCTCATCCAGCTTAACGCGTTGACTGCCACGTCATTCACATGGGAATGATACTCTGTTTTACAACAAATTCCGTGATTGCCAAACGCATTTTTCTTCTGTAATTTACTCTTTTCTCATAAAACATCATTGAACGACTTTTTATGAAAATTTGTAAATTTGTATTTTGTCATTTGTATTTGAATGACGGTGCGCTTTCGAAAACAAGGAGTATCATTCGTACATGAATGACACGTATGCCGTGGCGATCAATATGTTAAATGCGTTAACCGTCGTGTGTCCTTAGACGGTTTAGAAACCTTTGCCAAAACGGAACATACACACGTAACGTTGTAAATTAGTGGGAGTAAAGATGTCTTACAATTAGTGTCCACATATCACGCCAATAACCGCGGAGGAGGGGAGGAAGCGAGCGATATCGCATTCGCATGAAGACGAAAGAAAGGGAGGAACAAAAAAAAATTGTGAATTTGAAGTGCAAATGCCAGAAATGCGATTTCTTCCGCGGATATTTGAGAGTATTCGATGAGCTATGTCTCGAGGAGTGGCGTAGAGAAACCGGTAAGAGGAGATCTTTATAAGTATTTGTATAAGCCACTTTTTGTCACACTAATTGTTAATAAAAAGGAGAAATGTGTGTATTACGAGTGTGTTGTTTCGAGATCGGTGTAGAGAATAGTTGCTCCGCTCATTCTTCGCGACACCTTCTTTACTTTTTTTTGTCTATGCGTTTTCTCTCATTTAATCATTTACGTTCTGGATGGCGCGACGAGTTTTACACGCGGTTGACGTCGGCCGCTCTGTACAATTTTTACGTTGCCATAGTAACCATAGATGTAATCGACCGTCATTGGTTGCAAAAATATAGAAAATATAAAAATGTATGGGTATTTATATATATACGTATATATATGTATGTAAATAAATATATATATATATTTACGTATGTATATATGTATATATATATGTGTACGGCCGCGTGTACATACATTACGCGTGTATATCCAAAATGTATACGATTTTTAATACATTTTATTATTATTTAATTTCCCTGCGTCAATTGCTTCCTATCCTTCTTTCGACAACAGCGACTTTTGCGACTTTTCTCGTTTGTTTTTCTTATTCCAGTTTTCTTTATGCTTTTTTCAGCGCGACATCGAAAGGCGTAATGTACCGACACCTCGCAAATAAATCTGCGTTCTCATCGCCGGGTGATTATCGCAAGAACAATGATTTACATTTATTTTTAAGCTGTAAATGTTTCTTTACGTGCAATTTCTCTCTCGTAATATTTTCTTTATTTTTTCCCAATCGTTCGTTTTGCGACGTGAAATCTTTGTTCAAATGAATTTATAATTGCTTTCCATGTTACAGTATCGCAATTATTTTAGTAGTCACGCAGAGTCTTTATTTAGCACACAGCGTTAAATAAATTTTATTTTATCTGATGTACCTTACATTAAAAAGGAAATGCTCAGATTCTCTTATTCAATTTACGAAGTTACGTCGCATCGCTGCCACAAAGTTTCGTATTCTTCGAGCAACCTTGGCGATAAGAAGACAACGACTGCATTGGGCACATCGCCAGCCAAGTCGGGGGGGGGGGGGAGTGAACCACCCCCGTAACGTGAGTCACCGTGTAATGGGGCTGAAGAGGAAGAAGACGGCTGGCAGAAGGGGTGCGGTTCGAATTTATGGTTCGCTCCGAGGGTTATGCGTTTGCAGTCTGGCTACTTGGGCCAAGAGATAAAGATCTGTCCCGTAGTCGCTCGTAATTGTTGTTGTATCAACCGATCGAGTTACGCGTCGCTTCTAATTGGATCGTCACAACATCGTCGTACACGAAAAGCGTCGCTGCGAGACGAAACATCGACCGTCGTCGCAGAACTGCTCTGAAGGAACGCTCGTTGCGTCACGAAATTAATGTCCAATTAATCAAGCGAAACTGCTCGAGATACTCGAGCTGTTTATGTGAAATTATTGAACGATCTTTCTAAATCATTGACGACGACAATAAGCTAGAAATACAGCCAGCTTTTAGTCATCTTGGGTCAAAGTGCGATCTACATCTGGCTAAATAAGTAATCTAATTTGCTTATTTTCAAGAACATCTCTAAGATCCATTTATTAATATTTTAACAAAGTCTGGAAGTCAATTACAGCAACCGACAATTATACATTCGTAATGATTTGAGTTCTAGGCTGCTCTCCACGCAGACCGAGAGACGGCACGGAATTAAACAACAGCGCGAGATCAATTTTTAATTTGGTTTTATGGTAGGAACTCGGGAAATTTAATATAAAATTTTTACAACCAGTTCTAGAGTGGAGTATTAGTAATTAACAATGTGTGCGCAGCCATTTCGAGCGCGGTCTGAGCCACTTGCGACATTGAAATGCTCTTTATTTCTTTCGATGACTAGTCCATCCGATATAGCACGCTTCTCCGTTAATAATAATTAATCTAAATTGCGAGCCGCGGGACGAACGTTTATCGCGCTTCGTTATTGAAATAAACGCGCACCGTCGTCGCCGCAATCTCGACCGGCAGGACGCGAATTATTATTGTTCGAGGGAGAAAGACGTCGCATAATAGCGCTATATCGACTCCGCGGAGTCATAAAATTGAGATTTCATTGGCGGTATCAGATATCGGCCGACCGTTGGGTTTGCATTCGTACATTTATTACATATACATGCATGTATGTAAAAGGTGAACCACACACCACACACACACATTGCTGTTCTTTTCATTTACAAGTTGATCGAGTAAGAAATTGATTTTTTTCACAAGAATAAGAAATCTGTGTAATCGTTTGAAAGTATAAGAAATTGAAATTGATAAATCTTTAATTACAAGTCGTTAATTATATACGTTAAAAGTACGAATTAAAACACACACACACAGCAATTGTATGAACTTCATTCAACATTATGATTCGTAATAAGATTTATCGACCAAGGTATTTTTTATTAGAGTTGTAACAAGTTAGAGCCGTCCATGAAACTTTTATCAAAGAGAATTCTTTTCAAGATCAGCAAAAAGTTTATAGCATATACGTCTGAAATACCTCATATACTATTCCAAGGCACACAAGCAACTCTTGTCTCGATGGCAAAGGTCGCGCGCGGCTGCCGCGATAGCGGCGATTCGATTTGTTTTTCTCCGAGGAATCAATCTCTCCATGCCATGCTAATAATATACAGAGAGTAATGATACAACTGGAGTGTGCAATATGATTCTTTAAAGGTTCGACCTCGCGTCGACCCGAATCGACGATCGATTGAAAACAACGTCGCGTTCTCATGTTTGTTCCGTTCGCATAATCTAGATTGCTGAAAAACGATACACGTCTCGATGCCTTCCGACGAAAAAAATCTTTCTAAATTAGATCAGTCGAACACATTAATCCCCGCTGCAATTGTGAGACAGGATTGGCAGCCGCTGATCCCTCATGATTAATTCATTCTGGAAGTGATTAAACGGGGAGGACAGTCCCCGTCTGTTTCTTGAACGTAGGTTGGCAACCAACTTCTCCGTATTACCATAAGATCGCATCAATTAAATAATTATTTCCATTTATCTCTTATGCGACGTAGAAGAAGCATATAGAAATCATTCAGCGCATTATGTGAAAAATAGTATTTGCAGACAGAGAATCATTAATATGTTATTATGATTTTAGAAATATATTTATTTATTTTTACTTAAATATGGATTTATATTTCTCAATTATAATTATCACATTGACACGTCAAATGACAAATTCAGTTTCACTGAGTGAACTTTAGTTAAGAAAAGATAATCAAAATTTTTATATAAAAATTGTTAAAGTACAAATCAACGTAGTAAAAAATATTAAACTAGAATTGTCAGCTTCTTTGTGGACATTTTTCTTACAGTAAAACGCTTCCATCAGTAATTTCCGTCGTCGAACGTTCATATTGAGTGAGTTTCCGGACACCGTTTAGGCCAGATATCGTCGCGACGTCAACGCCAACAAAGAAGAGAGATAGGACCGCGTTATTTCGGCCCTGAAATAATATCAGCCTGTCCACAAAGTCTTGACGCGTTGAAATAATATTTTCACAAGGGCGCCTGTCCGCCGCGTCGCGACCCAAAATCCGGCAGATACAATATCGCTGTTTTTTCGACCGATCGTCTCATCCTCGCGGAGCGCGTCACGATGCGCTTCGGTCACCGACATCTCGTGGATCGATCCGCGGGAGGTAAATGCGCTCCAGATCTCGTGTTCTGGTGGAGCAGCACGAAACGGTTAACCGAAAACTATACAGGGTAGTTCGTGCTAAACGTGTACCGTTATATATCGTTTCAAATAAAAAATTACAGTTGTATAAAGCGCTCATATCTACAATCTACATCTGTGTGCGTGTTTATGTAATAGGAATATAATAATTTTGACTGTCCGCTGGCGAAGCGAAGTATAAAATAAAGCGTAACGAAGCGTATTCGCATATGCATGCGAGTTCTACGAGCGATATTTTATCGCGTGTTACGACATTCGTGCACGGTTACTTGAATGAGGGTGGCGACAGTTGAATGCTGTGACCCTTTCCGTGTTTCCGATATATATCTCTCTTAAATATGCTAATTTCTCTCTTTTTTTTACTTTGGAAGCGCGTGCACTTCTTCGATGACGCATAACAAAAATGTCGCAGAGAATTATATGAGATGCAACTGTTATAGGGAATAAAAATGTATTTAATTAGTATTCCAATTTGACCATAATGAGTACGTTTTTATTATGCCTAAATTTTTGCGTACATTTGTTTCCCTGCCTTTCTTGCAAATGAAAGAAAACCTTAATTGTAAAAAAAGTATCGCTGCAATTTCTTCAAGCGTCTTTGCGAGCAAGTATCAAGATTCTGCTTTTTCATAGAATTTATAATTATTATTAATTGTAAGTTTTTTTATACTACTGTTTTTATAACATTAATTATGTTTTACGTAACTTTTAGTTTTTTATTTGGTTCCTTAGAAGAAGATATTTATTCTCGAATATAATAGACATTTATGAGTCTCAAAACGCGACAATATTAATGACATGCGACTGGAACTGTAATTATCGTAGCAAACCAAAGCGTTACGAAAACATCAATCTTATTTGTGAAAGGGAGAACACGCTCTCTCGCTGCCAAAATTCGTGCTTAAATTTCTTTATGTGCGTCACGCTTATTAAGACCTACTTGGAGCGGACGGCGAGGAACGATATAATAAAGTATACTATTCACACGCAGTCGCTCATGCGCCTCGGTGAGATGCCACGCGCATTACTTGCGCGCGGCTACATTATCGGGATGAATTTACAACGTCGTTTGGCGATCCGCACTTCGCGGGCGGACCATAACGAACCTGTTAGCGCGGAACGTAGTTACGGCGCCCACACACAGCGGAGAGGACGATTTTAGCCGGCGTCTCGGCGCGTTCGCGCGATTGCCCTTTTTCCAAATAAACCCGAAAGCCGACGGGTATTATGCATATTCGAGCCCCGCTTTAACGAGATTGCAGCTAAGCTAACTACGGAAAGGCCGCGCAAGACGTATCGCGCGCATCCGTGCGCGTGTGTGATGAAGGCAGTGATGAAAACGATCCTTCGGCGAATGTAATCAACAACCTTCGAAGATCACGATATTCTTGCTGCCTTCAAGGCATTCCGGTATAATACTCGTTCTGAATAATCAATTCTTTGATTACGTAATTTGTTCCTGCGACATTTTATTTATCGCTGCTCAATTTTACTTTCGGATACCTATTTAATTTTTTCGATGACAGTTGACAGTAACCTGTATCTTATTCAATTGGTAATATTTCATTACTCGGTGATTTTGCAAATTTAATTGCGTTTCGCGGAATGTGAAAATTTGTTAATTTTAATTGTGCAAACGCTCGTTTCTATACAATTTCGTTATCGACATTTATCCGTCATTCGTCCCGAATCTAACGCTAGTCGCAAGCGAGACTCGACAATCCGTTTTGTTGCCAATGATATTGATATTATATTTAATCCGATATTAAATTTCGATGCTTTTGAATATTTAATTGAATGACGATATACTGGATGAAACTTCAGCGCGTTCATTTTCAATCCCTTTTATCAATGATTGCCCGCGTTCACGCCCGAAAGCAGCTCTATTTCACGCGCGATGGTCAATCGATCGTTCCGCAGCTCTCAGTTATTGGGAATAACCGCGCTGTACCGTGAGCGAATCAATGTAGACTCCGAATCGATATACTCCGCCCAACGAGAGATCATGGTTGATCAAACATAAGTAACGATATAGGACACAGAGCCGCAAGGTGTTCGCGTTAATTTATTTTTATTTTTAATAGTGTTGGACAATATCTATTAAAAATGAAAATAATTTAACGCGAACACCTTGTTGCGGCTCCGTGCCCTATCGTTATTTATGTTTGATCAACCATGATCTCTCGTTGGACGGAGTATAGAGCAGTAAGAGGACGAAGAAAGTTGGCGATTAGGGGTCGCCCGGTATGTGCGCGCACGTGTTTAAAAACGCTTTCGTCAACTCCGTCAGCTCATTTTCGCCAAAATATACGGAAGGGGACTCACACATCCGTTTCCGTTCGTTCGTAAAAACGTTCACCGGACTGGGCTGCGCGATGTCGCCGCTGAGAAACGAATTCTACGGTAGTCCTTTTGTCTAGTTCCGTAATTAAGAAAATTAGGAATAATAACGATAACATGTTAGGTGAATAAAGAAAACTGGGATTAGATGATTAATACAACAGTCGATATTTACATTACCGAATACAAAAATAATTGTAAGATATTTAGAAACAAAAATAAAAGTCAAAAGATGGATCTATCATAATTAAATTCGCACGGGAGATTTCGATTCAGGGTCACACTGTTCCTCGACCATTGTTGTATCCCGTCCAGTTTTTGGTAAGTTGGAGTCTTCGACTTGGAGACTCGGCAACCGGCTGGGATTAATTCAGCCCTTCGAACACCTACGTAGAAATGGAAGACGGTAATCCGACACCCGGTTGTCAGCCCGGCAGGAAATGGTCCGGGGGACTGAGGATAAGGAGAGAGGAAGAAACGGGCGCGAGAGCAGGGAGAGCGACGAGCGATATAGCTCGCGCCGCGAGTATCACGAGACGCGCGACCCTGGAATTCGCTCGTCAATATATTTTATTGTCGCGTGAATAAAAGAGCGACGTCTTCCGCGCTCGCCATACGCTCTATTTTACGACGTATTACAATCAATATCGACGCACCGAACCGTTACATCTCAAGAGTGCTGTCGCGACCGGCGTTAATGCTTTCGGAGAGCGCGTTTTATTTCGCGATCCCGGCACGGCGCGAATCGAACAGCGCATTTCGAATTAGCGAGCTGGAGTCGTGCCGTCAGAATTCGTACCCCCCCCATCACAATCGGCGAGCGATGATTGCTTTCGATTTGATCCGATTTCGAGCGGCGACAAGGATGACGACATACAGACGCGCGGAGGGAGAGAGAGAGAGAGAGGGTCGAGAGAGCAGCGAGGTCGGGCAGTTGCATTTGCACGCTCCATAAACGATTAATACGCTCTCTCGTCACGTCCCACGTGTCGGATGACGGCGCGCAACGCGCGCGCGAGATAGCATACATTCCCTGCGCGAGAAACGCTCTCCGCGCGAGATCGACCGCGCTCTCTCTCCGCGACAGGAAGGTCCTTCCCCCCGACTTCGCATGTTCCAAGTGTTCCCGTGCGAATATTATGGCGTGATGGGCTCGTTCTCGGCCATGACACACTCATTGACTATGAATACCTGATATTTATCATACCTTTAATCTCCATATTCATTAAAATGACATGCATGTGTTATTTGCAATTAGATTAATTATTTTATTCAAAAATATAGTGTGGGAAAGAGAGAGAGAGAGAATGTGTGTATATGTATGTGTATGTGTCAGATGTTACAACATTGATCTCTTTAGTCACTTATAATATTACTAATAAAAACGTAGAGAGATCCAAGCATTACGAAAAAATAAAGAGTACAGAATTGATTAAAACAAAAAACATGTGATATACAAATGTAGTTCATGTAGTTTCCTTTATTTATACTAACTCGTAGTTTTATATATTTAGTATAAAACCATTATATGTGTGTGTTGAATCTCCGATAGGTAATGTCAAATAACGCTGATCTTTATGATATGTTTAGTTCTCTTTAATTTTTCTATATAATTGCTTTTCCAAAACACTTATCTTAAGTGTGCGTGGTTCAAAAGTTTATTTTAAGACAATTAATTAATATGTTATAATGGTTACCGTAATTATATTGTAAAGTTAATAATCTGAAAGTATTAAATACGTAGTAGTATCCTTATCCTCATTGTTCTTTGGAGCTAAATTTAAAATCGACATGCGGGATAACTCTCGCGGAAAAACATAAACAGCCTATAAGAAATCTGTTTTATTTATTGTAACAATAACATTAGCGGATTACAAATTTGTACATCCGCGTAGATCGTGATTTCGCGCGTAGATCCCCTAACTTCGAAACGGATCCGATCGATCCCGAAATAAATGTCGCCGAAAGCGATATACACGTAACGAGGATGCAGAAGGTTGCTAAATGGTACCAATGAGGGGGAAGTTGTGGCATGCCATTAACACCAATTGTGGTTTCATCAATTTTCATCTGCGCGGCTTTTGGACGCGGTACCCGGGCAGCAAAGGTGTCAGGCGTGACGCTCGGCAAAGCGACGATTTTCGGTCAGCCACGTTTACCAGCTGCGCTCCATGACATATCAAGGACGGGCCACGACCATTTCGTGAGCGGACGCACGGTACAGTCAATAATTACCATGCAGCTTCGTGTGGTCTCGAACGTTAGCTTATACAGCGCGAAGACTGGCTCCGACCGAACTGCGTGTTATTGAAGCACATATATGGCACGTGCATGCACACACCGTGTACATTTTTGTAGCGTATAAAATCGGTAATTTGTTGCCAATAACCGACATCAGTCACTTACTATCAATATCAATTAACCAATATTAATTTACTAACGACAACCGACAAATATGCGAAACTATATTACAGGCACTGTAATGAGAGAATGATTGTAATGTATTACATTGCAATCGTAGAAATAACTTATTATGTTAGCGCTATGAGGGCGGATCTATATAACATCACGCGCGCGATTCAAAGTGTCAATTAGTAATCCCGCGAGTAACGTTGGCTTAAGCACTGATTAACGTATACACGTATACACGTCGAAGAATTTTCGAGTTGCCGTCCCGGTCGCATCGCAATATTCCACTAGTTAGCTTCCAATGATAAACAACAAACAACCTTCGCACGTTGCCGCGTTACTCCTCGGCGTCAAAGACGACGGTAATTGCGCCCCCCTACGCAATATACGTTACTTACGTATCTCTTAATTAATTCGTGCCACGACCCGCTCGGGAATTATTTTCACATCGCCAAACGCGCGCGTCTTCATCGTCCTCTCGTCCCTCCTTCTCTGAAGAAGCCTCGCCATCCTCTTCTTCCTCCCTCGTTCTTGCTTCCGTCGGAGTTTAAGCGAAACTTGCCGCCGAAGGAAGCTTATCTAATAGTCACGGCCGCCTCCGCACGTAAATTAGATAATATCGAACACCCGATAACTAATTAGCAACTCCACGACGCTTATATATCTTTATACCTGACAATATATCTTTACTTGACAATCAGATAGCAACAATATCGTCAATCATAAACGATCATATTTCGTATATCTCGCATAAAAAGTTTTTGGATTATAGCCCAGTCAATAGAGCCCGAAAAAGCCGCTGAAATGGAATTAATTCCGGGAAGCGATTTTTTTTTCTTTGACTGTTTTGGAGGGTCATGGATAGCCTAAAACCGGATTTTCGGGATTCTAACCCTTTTTGAATTTACTTGGTATAATGAAAAACATCTTTTCCACATCACCACGGGGGTAGAGTTTATGGCGCGTTTATTCAAAAAATTAAAAAAAAAATAATAAAATTTCACCCCCCACTTTCAAGTCTAAGACCCAAAATATCGATCCTAGGTGAAAAATGATAAGGACCAAAATTGTAGAGTATTAAATTTTCTACAAGTTTGGTTATTACCAATTTCACTCTAAAGTTGAAAATAAGCGAGATATTTACAAAATCAACCTTCTAATCAAAATGGCGGCTAACGCTCCAGGGTTAGAATCCCGAAAATCCGGTTTTAGACTATTCATGACCCTCCGAAACAGTCAAAAAAAAAATTGGTTTCCGGAATTAATTCCATTTAAATGTCTCTATTGACTGGGCTATATTAAATTCATCGCTTTTGTTTTTGTTATCTTGCTTTAAAAATAATGGAAAATATACGATGTGATATTTCTGTAAATGATCGCAGGATCGCGCGACATAATAACTAGCACATCTGATATTCTATCTGTTTATATACCATGCAAGGACGTGTGTGTTTGAATTGGTATTGTACGATTTATTCAAACGTCGTGTCTCTGCGAAAACATTTATTTCTACTGTTTTTGGGCAATTTGCATCGAACAAAATTGCAACAGTTTATCACTTAGAGTACGTGATATTAACCTTTTAATAAGAAAAATAAAATAACATATTAAGGTGATCCTAAAGCCGTAATCCTAATCGATTTTTTTCTTAGCACTAATCTTTTAATTGGCTTTATAGAAATACAAAATTCTTGTCTAGAATTAAAGTACGCATCAAAATCTAGGTCATGGTGGTCGAATTTATATCAAAAACGAAAAAAAATTAATATTTTTTGTTATACGTGACGACCACCACATATAAATTCGACCACCATGACCTAGATTTTGATGCGTACTTTAATTCTAGACAAGAATTTTGCATTTCTATAAAGCTAATTAAAAGATTGGTGCTAAGAAAAAAACTGGAAAAAAACCGGTTAGGGTCACGGCTTTAGGATCACCTTAAAACAACAAATACTATCGAAGATGATATGCATTTAATACATACTAATGTACAAATCGTTTATGTATATTTCACATTTCGTCATATTTCGCATCTTTCAAAATTTGTTACGTTTACAATAGCCAAGTAGGTAGTACATGATGTCTAATATCACAAAGAATGTATAAATAACTCAATTAACTCATATTCCGCGGCCATGTTTTCCTCCGCATGCCGCACTCGAAGAAATATTCAGCGTGTCAATAGAAATTTATAATTAAAAAGTGGAGCTGTTAGTGAAACGCGTGTAAACTCGCGTCGTGTCTGAACAATAAAAATTTTCACCGTTTCCCACGGTCGAACGCTAATGGCCGCTGCCACATTCTCGCACAGTGCAGCTCTTCCGAGACGTCGCGCTAATTTTATCCCGTTACGCTTGGTGAAGCAAACGACACGTGGCAATATAAGTGTCTCTTGAAACTAATGAAGTATAATGTATGTAACGTGACGTCTCCATCCATACAGTCGTTCTGTTATAACGTTATTCTCTCTCGCGACAGCTTTATACCTCGTACACATCGTATATCGTAATGTCTTATATCAATACACGTTCCGAAGGAACTCTCGGCAATCTCTGATTGAAGCAAATATCAACGGGTATCAACATTGCAAAATGTTGCACGAACGGCAAATGTGTGCGCTCCGCGTCTCAAATACCTTCCACGGAGCTTTCAATTAACTCGCGTTGAATTTTGTCGAAAAAAGTCTCACGCACGTCGTGTAATCCCAGCCAAACATGTACCTTCAAGTTTATCGACAGCGATCGATTGGTTCCGCGTTTAGAGCCCCTTGCACGATTGATATATATTCAACTTCCGTCGACCTCGAGGAAAATCCGGATACATTCTTCAGTTTGTATCTCAGTTGCTCACGGATCGGCTACCGCTCCCAGTGGAATTTTGCCTAACGACGTTCACCCTCATCGGCAAGATCATTCCCTGGGCGATGCCGTAGTGCTCGTACGCGTCTTTTCCGTAAGCCACGTTCACCTCCTCGGCCCGTTTGCTCACGCTCGACGACGAACTCGCCGGCGAGGCGGCCGAGGACGCGATACCCTGTAACGTGTTGAAACTCTGCATTGCCAAGTGAGAAGCGGCCGTGATTTGCGTCGCGATTGGCGGCGAGCCCTCGACTCGGCCAGGAAGAGCGCTGCTCGGAAGCTGGGGCTCGGCCAGAGACGCGTTGCTCATTACCGGCGCCGCGAGTGCTCTATCAGTTCGCGCGACCGGTGGAGCGGTTGATCTCGCCGCCGCTCGCGAAGTCGATAACATAGCAACGGATGGATTGTCCGCGCGAGCCGTTCCCGAATGCGGGGTGACGGACGTCAGCTTCGCTGACGCGCGCGGCGGTAACGGCGGCTCCTCCGTTTCCGGTGTCCGCAAAACCGTCGCGGACTGCGTCCTCCTCGCCAAATCCGCCCGAGTCTCGGCCGGATTTCGCGCGTCCGAAAACGGCGCCGTGCGAGCGCGATTCTTTCTCACCGGGATTTGCGGGCTCATCGGGGCAGCTCTACCTCCGCTATCCGGGATAGCGCTCGACGCGGTTTTCGATCCCGATTGTTTGACCGGGACAGCGGTAACCGGCTGTGCGGAAAGCGGCGACGCGTCTCGAGAATTGTTAGCGCTGGGCGCAGACGATGATGGAAGATTGCTCGAGAAATTATTCGTCATCGGCGGTACGTCGGTGACGGCGTTCACCGAATTTGCGAAAAGATCGTGATTATTTCCGTTTTTTACGGCGGCGAGCTTCGGATCGCCGTTGGGAAAGCTGGCGAAGTGTGCGATCGTTTCTCGCTCCTCGGCCACTTGAGGAGCGAAAGGTATTTTCCTTTCGACTGGCTTTACGGGTACTCTGTTTTTCGAGACGACGCGACCCGTAGCAGCTCTGCTGCCTCTTCTCTTTCTAGGATTGTTCGTCGCGGCGCTCGGACGCATTTCCGGGAAATGTCTGCCTCTCATGGTGATCGATTCCATCTCCTCGCTTCCGTTCCCGTCTTCACCGTCCCGGTCTTCATCTTCATAAAACTCCGAGTCTTCGTAAATATCCGACTCGTCCTCCTCGTTCTCCTCGACGATCGCGCTAGCCTGTATCCATTCCCTGATACGATCCTTCTTCTTCGAACGATCCACCGTTGTCTCGATTCCGTACGTCGTGAGAGTGCGGAGAAGTTGATTTTTCTCTTCCAAGGAACTATGAAAGCTGTACATGGACGGGCAAAGTTCGTCCCTCTCGTCGGCGCCGCCTGCAAATATAAAAAGGAAATGTCGCTAAGATATCGTGACGTATCGCCGATACTATCGCCGATGCAAAATGTGCAACTGACCGTTCAACGCTTTTTCGGCCCCGAGTTTCGCTAGCCATCTGTCTTCTTGATATTTATTTACTTCGAACACGCTGACCGGTCGCTTTTCAGCTTTCGGATCCAATAGCCTCTTGAACATCCTTTAAGAAATGTCAAAGTATGTAGCAAGCAAGTATGTAGTTTTTTCTTTATTGATTATAAGTACGTAATTGAATTCTTATTAAAATTCCTAAAGTTCCGTTCGTCATGAATAGTATTTTTGACAATTTGAAATAAACAAACGCTAACGCATACAAAGAGTAAATATCAGCTAATTATATCGTATTAGGTGTATACGCGTGTTGCACACCGACGTGGCGCTTAATTTCGCATTCTCGGTTTCCCGAGTGGAGGCCCACCTCTGTGCCCGCGAGCTGATCAACTGAAATAATTTCGGTTTCTTGGCGATGTTGAGCGTCGCGTTGTGCCAGTTTTGATATCTGGTGTAGCGCGGATCATCCATCGCCGCCTTCTGCCACGGCAGGCATCCGGTCAGGCAGACAAATAGGACAATGCCGAATTGCCAGACGTCGTGCGATGTGCGAGCTCTGAAAGTCGTTGCCGTTAAAATGTATATCCTCGGCGACCGTGGCCGAACATCTACATCTCGAGTATCATTCATACGCACCCAGTCGCGTTTTTGATATGACCAAAATTTTGAATACGTGTTAAGTAAATAAAATTTAGAAACTTCAGAAGAAATTACGGGAAAAAGTAGGATATAATTGAATTATTCGTAATAATTAAGAATAACGACACAAAATGTTCTCGATATATTCATATTTAACAGTACACGGGAAAAAATAATGTATCAACAGCATCATCAGTGTAATCGAGATAAAATCTATTGATGCAACATCAATATTAATGAACAAAAAACATCAGATAGTTGTTTTAATAATTTAAATATTTGGCCCAATAATATTCAATTGAATTAACTATTTAGGTTCGTATACGTCGACGTTTAAATGCAACAACTTCTTTTTTTTTTTTTTAATTAAACAGCTGTACGTCGTAATGCTTCCGGAAATAAAATCCGTCAATACCAATTCCTTATACCTTTTTCTTCTCTCAACTTTCTGTGCGCATAAATATCACGTGACAACGATAAAAATGTGTAGCATACACAAGATCAATCACAGCATATGTATATAATTACTTGTACGTCTCGTCAGTCTCGATCTGCAATACCTCAGGCGGCGAGTACGGCAGCCACTCGTTGTGCCTTCGCACGACGGTGTTCACCCGCCTGGTCTCGCCGAAGTCGCAGAGCTTGATACGCGAAAAGTCACTGCGGAACACGAGTATATTGTCGAGCTTTATATCGCGATGCACCAGGTCGCGGCTGTGTATGTGATGCACCGCAGCGGCGAGTTGCCTGGCCACCCTCTTCGCGTGCAGCTCGCCCAGCCCCGTCTCCGTCACGTTTGACGTGAGATCGCCTGAAAGTCAGTGACCACCAAGATATATTCTCGTAACAATGCAATGGCAATGCGCGAATGTCATGTTCTTTGCTCACGTAAATGACATCGCGTCTCAGAAAATATTTTCAGCTATTGCTCAATCTCGTTGCATTGCAAAAGAAATATGTAAAATTGCACGAACAATAAATACAAAATTCATACGATTTTATGTATAATTTTTACACTCGTTCATTTAGTTTTATATACTTTTTTACAAGACAGTATGTATTGCAATGAGCAGTATGTATTGCAGTGTAAAAGCCAATGAACTTGTTCCGTTTTGAAAAAAAAAATTAATGTTTAGTTATTAAACTATGATAAAAAAATATATATATATTTATAAATATATTCATAAATAATTTAATGAATTAAATTAAAACATTTTTTTAGATAATATTTATACAGATTTAATTGTACCAAAACCATATTTCTTATTTTTTCATAAAAAATGGACTTAATTGATTTTCTTTTTGAGTTTATATGTTCTTTTTTCAATAATTCAATAAATTTCCTGCAATATTATTATCACACGCTCACAAAATAAAACAAACGTTGCAACTTATTTGAATTAAAATGTTGCTCCACGCGAATTTACTCAGATAAGAAAGTATATTGCAGAGCGGAGTTAGAATTCGGAATTAAAGAGTTAACGAACGCGCCTGATGTAAGGCGCATAAAAAGTCGGCGTGCACGTGCACAGGCGAGCGTCGTAAAAGAAAATCTCTCACCGAGCGGGGCGTATTCCTGACTAAAAACGTAGAAACCGGCTGTCTCGAACGCCACGTCGTAGGTGGTTATAATGTTTCGGTGCGCCGACAGATGTAACCCATAATGAAATTCCCGAAAGAAGTCCGAGATGCCGGTGTACGCCTTCGGCAGGGCCTTGAGCACCATCTCGGTCTGCGTGCTGCGATGCTCGGTCAGCAGGATCTTGCCGAACCATCCCTCGCCGACGATCTGCAGGATGTCGAACTCGTCGATCAGATTCACCTGTCCCAGAGAATAGTTAGCACTCGACGCGCTGCCGCACATGACGCGGCCGGTGATCGATCGTGAGTCACACGTCGCTGCTTTTCGAGCCGCGAATGACGGATGAAGTTAGCCCGGGCATTCGCCAGCAGTCGGCTCGTAATGACACGTTCACAAACTCGGGAGAGTTCCGAGTCCTCGGGACAAAGAGCGACAGCGTGAACGCACACACGCGGTGTCACAAGGGAAATGCAATCCCGATGGGAGACGTAGGAGACTAGGGATCCCGCGAGCACGACGACGATGCGTTATCCGGCTGCACGCTGAATACACCCGACACTCGTACGCCCGACGCCGAATCTCTACGCAACGTCTATTTTTACCCCAACGCACGCTTCGAACGCACATTTTCATCCCGATGCGAACTCGACACACAAGACGATCTCTTTTTAACACCGTCTCATTGAACCACGTATCTTATTGCAACCGAGCATCACATCTTTTCGACCAGATGGACGAAAATTGAATAAAAGCTGCAAATTTTTGCTCAAGAAAATGAAATTACTTTTTATTTTGATTATTTGATGTAATAGAAAATTTTGTGTGTGTTGGTACATAGTAATTAAATGGAATATTGCGACATCTTGATTTGTTTAGCCTTATAAATTAGGCTATAGATTAATTAAACTGACAACAATAATTAAAGTTAACTGAGAGAGATTCAATTGATTCTAGAATTTTATAAATAATATTAATTTTCTATTTTAATATATACGCATAAAATAAATAATATATATTTCTATTATCGGAATGTAAGGAACGTTTTCTATATGAAATAGATGTTTACGCGTGCTTCAATTAAAATATTTCCGATCAGATGAATCTCGAATTCCATTTAGATTCTGTGTCATCAAGAATGTAATCACAGCGAACCTATGAGTCTGTGTGATTCAGTGTTGTGTGACGAGATACAAAGTCACGAAGCGCGCTCCAACGACGACGGCGACGACGAGTCACGGTCGCAAACATCGTCGTCGTCACGGACCCTCTGTTAGGGAAACATTGGTGCAATGCCAGGCAGGAGAATGGCCGTTAGTCGAGCGAGCATAATGAAATGCTGCTCGTTCGCGAATCCTATTTCGGGATCTCAATGTCTCGAAAACTGGAAAAGCTCGCCCGCTCGCTCCGTCGCCCGCCGTTGTTTAGGCTTTATTCTCGAGGGAAACGCGAGGGACACTTTAGGGAAATGCCACACGGCTGACAAAGGAAAATCCAATTGTGGACCGGTTTTCGCAGAGGAGAGGAACTAACAGGAGAAACGGGAAAGAATGGCGGCGTTACCTTCTCGAGCTCGAACTCCCGTATTCTGTGAATGGACCCACCGATCGCCTTCTTCATTCCGCTCATCTCTTCGATAATCCGCAGCGCTTTTTTTTTATCACCGAGAAATAGGTTTTATGGTTCGACGCGCGGATTCAATTGCGGCGGCTAGACGTTACATCCCGTCGCTCATAAATCTCGCAGTATCATCGGTCATCGTCCCCCGATGTGTCTCGAAAAAATATCCCACTCTTCGGACTTCTGCAAAACGTTTGATCGACATATGAGAATAACGTTGTGAAACTCGATGAAAGGAGCAGACTAATAGAGATAATTGTGTTAAGGAGAATATTCGCTGTACGAATTACGTTCGTCGACACGTGCACGATAACAAGATGAATAAAAGGATTCCAATCCAGTGGTTCGAGGTGAGAAGTGGGACGCGATGAAAATCAAACGATGGATATATTCTACTGCCGTAAAATGAGGGTCTAACGACGCGACATTTCATTTCCGACGGGAGACCGTTAACGGCCTGAAATCGCAATTCTGCGAGTGTGCGCCAGTCGGTGCACGTATTTTTGTGCCGTGTACAATTGTTGCGCAAGACGCTGGGCGAGAGTGGCGGCAAATTTCACGAGGAATGCCACGCGTCATATACATATGATTTGGCAGATCGCACCCATCGACAATAGATACAAGAGCGTATCCGAAACATTTCTAGCAATTGGAAAAGCATACGTGCGATCCTCCTGATGACGTAAAGGCGTTGCAACGTTCGTGAATAATGAATCGGTTGAGCGATATTTCCGGGTTTTCCCGTTACTTTTCATCCGTCGAATAAAAATAAGCGTGCACGTGTCTCTCCTCTTCGTTTCGTCGCAAGTATATATCGCGTTATGCACGAGAATTACGATGTTATAAAATTTAAGAGACATATTCGTGAGTATTTGATTTGAAAAGGCAGCAATCTAATTAAATCCGTTTTAGCCGGTCATTTTTTCTCGACAAGTGCAATTCTTGTTGCTGGACCGTCGTAGAAGCGGGGTCCTCTCTCCGTTCCTCCTCGCAAAAAGTGCTTTCATACGAAAATCGAGAAAACATCCGCAAGCATCCAATAAATGCATTTTATTCATATCCCATTCTTATCGGCGAACGCGAACTTACGGTTGATGGAACTCGCGAATCCGGTCGCCCCGTCGTTATTTATGTAAGCGCCGTTGACGAGTTCACGGAAACGCGAGCACGCACATCACGGGGGGCTGTCCATGCAAATTTACGGATCGCGTGCACCTCCGCACGCCGGGATTCGAGGAAGCACACTTCGGAGGCACGAAGGGGCACAATTAACACCACCGAGAAAGCGCGCGTCTCCGTCTCCGCGGGTGAAATCTGGAGAACGTTGAGAGATAAAGTCGACGTATCCCTTCTCTCTCTCCCTCGCGAGTCGCGCAAGTCAAGCGGCCACGCACCTCGAATGATCTCACGACTGGTCTGCCGTGTTCGGTGCACTGTTTGCCTGTGTCTGCAGTATTTATAAAACGCTAACCGGAAAGCGCGGCTGGCAAGCTGATCTTGGCGTCTTGCCTTCTTGCCCGCGCACCCATCGCCTCTTCCTAAGGGCGCGCACCATATTGCGATCATTGGTGAACCCTAAACTCCATCCAAACGGGATCTGGACCGGATCGCAGCAACAGATTACACTTTAAGTAATTAATTATATTTTATTTTGGACGATCGTAATTTAAATACGGAAAAAAAGATTAGTTATTATAGCTAGTGACCTAAAATTTTTTTGCAGCAAGAGCTATAATTCAGCAATAGTAGCATAATCTTTTACTCTCAAAAAAATGTTAGCTGTCCCTATTTTACAACTAAATTTACTATAGTAGCTAATTTTTTTTCTGTGTTAATAATAAAAAAAACTCGCTTAATCGAAATTAGCCTTAAGCGATCTGCTAAGGTTTGTGGCTTCTAGTAGATTTTATAGCTTACAAGATGTTTATATTGGATAGTAATATAAATGCTGAAATGTGTGGTTCTTTTGTGATGAGCTAATGCGAAACCTTATAAGTTGTAACTTGCAATGTGTTTTATTTATATGCGAAAGTAATCGTACATGTATGCGTGAGGTCGAAGGATGAAATAAAAGTACAGGAAGTTATTTTTCGCACAGTCAGTCAAGGAATCTACTTTATTCCTATAAAATGTGTAACGTCTGATAACAATAACGCATTGGTAATTTTAATAAAAGATTTCTACGTTTCATACTTATTACCAATAAATACTCTATCAACTTATTTTTATTATTTCGGTGATTCTAACGCACAAAAGATTTTACTATTTTTCGCACACGATAAAAAATATAATAAATACCATGTAATATATTTCGCGCGCAAAAAAAATTGTCATATATCGTTCACACATAATTCTTGTATATCATTGGTCCATTTAGTTTTTATTGCATATACATATGACACGAATTTACAAGCTAACGATAAAATTAAATATTCATCACGTTGCCCGAAACATCTATAACGTTGCGTAACTCCAAAATCAACATGGCCGGATTTGTATAATATTCATCGAATCGGTAAATCTGGTTTCGCCGAGTACACCTATCACATTTCATCAGGAAAGTACCTCTAGAATATTTTTTAATGGACATAGTTTGACAGTAAAACTAATTTTCAAAAATCTTATGGATTTATTATATAAAAATCATTTTTAAAATTATTTGTGAGAATACTTTAATATTTTAATTTTATTTAGGTACGGTACGGGATGCACATAAAAGATTAGATACGTAAACATTTCAAGGCTTTACGAAAAAACATTTTTGTTGCATATTTAGACCGCATCAAATGTATTCACACGCCACCATATTGAATACCATCCTACGACATCCCGCGGGAACTTGCAGAACGTCATCAATATAGGGATTAACCGACCGAGAACGCTATGATAACATTGTATTTTAGTTACGGCTCTTACGTTTTCTTTCATTTTTTCATCTTTTTAAATTATTTACTGCGTTTTAATGGCGGTAAATATCGAAAAGATGCAAACTAATGATCAACTGCGTTCGCGACTTTACAGCAAATCTCAATCTTCAACAAATAATAGCATACTTATATATGTAATTAAATATGTATAACATTTGTTTAATAAGATTAGCACAAAAATTCACAAAATCAGCTAACAATTTGTTTAAAAAAAAAATCAGTACAGTAACGCCCTCTCGACGAATATTGCAGCTATAGTGAGAACCTGGTACGGATGATATTATATTATTTGAATAAAGTACCGATTATATTATATGTCAAATAAAAAAAGTGAAAAACATGCGAAAAATTCTTGAAGATTATCGGCATGATTCAGGGCCGACCATTCCCTTGACGTATACTCATTCAAAGCCGAAATACTTGTTGCAAAGTTTGATAAATATACGTGAGAAGAGGAGAAGAATCATTTTAATCGCGCTTTCCTATTTAATTGCGCTTTTTTTTACATCAAAATATACACTCATAGGAAATATTCTAATATTCTAATTCGATTCTAGTTCCGCGGGACATAGAAAGGCAGGGGGCTTCCACGGGGTACTCCATATCTGAAAATTAGGCACGAGGTCGGCAGGGGGGTGGAGCGTGCAACTATGGCGATGGGTCTACGGGGGGTGAGGGGACGCACATTTATGAATGATGGGTCTACGGAAAAGGAGAATCTGCGATTTTGGGCGCCAGCGGAAGAGAATCTGCATACTGCGGCCAAGAGCTGTCCGCGTGACGTCACACGGCGTGAGCTACGGACCTAAAAAACGGAGTATAAAGTATAAACTTCAGGCGCGGGGAAACGGGAAGCTCTTGCGGGGGAGGGGATTCAGCCATTTTGGTAGGTGATGTTAGTGCTGCTACCTAGCTGACAACAACAGTATTTACTTTAAAAGCTATTTAATCGGTACATTAAATAGAAACAGAAAGCGTATGCAAATTGTAAATGTGTTATTGTTGTGTGCAGTAATAAACTGTAATAATGAAGCTTTTTCCATAAATCTTTCTAACAAAATGAGATAGAAGAGAAAGAGAAGATAACATTTTTATAGATAAATATATTAATAAGTATAATGGGAATTAAATGTATAATGTAGTATGTACATACATACGTCCTGTATTGTGTGAGAATCATTTTCTCTTTTACCAAAGGAGCTAAAAAATATAGTTGAATACGAAAAGATGGCAATACTAATATCATTTACCAAGATAGCTGGATCTTGTTCAATACAAAAAAAAGATAGCTGGATTCCTCCCCACAAGAGCTTCGTCTACCTAAGTTTAAAGTTTAAAATTTAGGATGCTCATTTGTTGGATTTGTCATCGAATTATTGGCTAGGTTTACACCCTGAATTTAGGCAGCGGTCTATACCTCAAATTCGACCTAAATTATTTAGGCCGCCTGCTGTAAACATTTGATAGGCGGCCGAAACTAGCTTCAGGTCAGACTTTAGGTCGAATTTGAGGTACAGGCCGCGGCCTAATTTCAGGGTGTAAACGTAGCCAGTAGGATTTATATTTAGGCCAGTCAAATTAGACAAAAAAAAAGGCTCTTGCTCAAAAGTGATGCGAACTTTTTATTCTTTTTTAGGCGTGTTGGGGGCATTTAGAAAAGCTTATTTTTGAGTTGTCGTATCATGAGACCCAAAGCTTTTTGAGGGGCGGGGAGGGAGAACCAATTTTTGACGAATCGGAACGAGTTACCGCTTATTTTCTTCGTTTTTTCAAGCCCTACACCTTTCTCAGGAGCGAAAAAGTGCTATCTATTAATCGAAACGAGATAAATGCAAAAAACCACGAAAATTTTATTTTTCGGGGAAACCAAAATTTTCGTTTTTTCGCAATAACTCGGCGAATGTTGATAAAAAATGAATGATTAACCCCTCAGCTACAAAATGAGGGGGTTAGTCATTCATTTTTTATTCAACATTCGCCGAGTTATTGCGAAAAAACGAAAATTTTGGTTTCCCTAAAAAATAAAATTTTTGCGGTTTTTTGCATTTATCTCGTCTAGATTAATAGATAGCACTTTTTCGCTCCTGAGAAAGTTGTAGGGCTTGAAAAAACGAAGAAAATGAGCGGTAACTCGTTCTGATTCGTCAAAAATTGGTTCCCCCTCCTCCCTCAAAAAAGCTCTGGGTCTCATGATACGACAACTCAAAAATAAGCTTTTCTAAACACCCCCAACACGCCTAAAAAGGAATAAAAAAGTTCGCATCACTTTCATAGCAAAATGTCTAATTTGACTGGCCTAATTATATTATCTGAGATTCAGTTTTGTTATTTGTTTACCAGATTCTGAATCTCTCTTTTATTATCAACTGTTTCGACTATTAAACATTACTTATTATTTAGAATTAGACATTAGATTATTCTTAGGTATTGTTGACAAAATCAAAAATATCAAAACACCCAGATTTTAACTCAGAATATATTTTTGTAGGACTGTTTGCAAGAATACAGTTCAAAGGGATTAATTAATCAATCGATCGTTCAATAATTTACATTGCTTATATTGTCTATATACTCTATATGAAGAAGATTCATGTAAATATAACATAAATAAACAATTTCTCTGCAAATGTAATCTTGAAATTTACGGCATTATCCTGCTATTTGCATTTGTAGTTTATAGGCTCCGCTCGCTTCGTAGTTCGCGCCACCGCGAGTCGCTAGTGCCCGAGTTCGCCGCGCGATGGCAGTCGCGCCGGACGGCCGGCTGGCGCTGGGAGCGCGTCCCGAGAGTGTCGTCGACTGTGCCGAATACGTTTCCACCACTTCCATCAGCTTTCGCGTGTGTCTCCGCGTGTGTCACGGGTGTGTGTGCGCGCACGTCCGTCGTCGTCGTCGTGTCGTGCCTTGCCTTGCCTTGCTTCGTCGTCGTCGTCTCGTCCAAGGGAAGGAAAGGGGAAACCCACGATCCAGCGGTGTCGTACGTCGGTCGCGGGGAATTCGCGATCCCGGATCTCGCGCGCGCGTACGATCGCGGGAGCGACGACTCCGAGAACGGAGCAGAGAGAATAACGGAAAAACGGAGAAACGGTCAGGCGGCCGGACGTACGTAGTGGTGCGCGCTCTTCGTATACGTACGCGCGTGTTTGCGCGCCCATGCATGTGCTTGCGCGCGCGCGCGCGATCGCGCGTGTGGATCGTACGTGAGGAAGCGAGACGGGCAGCGGCGAATTAACGGAGTGGAGTGAAAGAGGTGGCGGAGGCGGCGGAGGAGGTGAGAAAAAAAGGGGGAAGTGTGTCGCGCGCTCGCGGCGCGGCGCACACCGTCGTCATCGGCGAGGAAGGTGCCCCGGAAGTCGCCTACTGCACGCCGCGAGTTTGTGTGTCCGCGGCGACGCGACACGGATAGACAAATAGACAAAGAGGAGAAAAGGTGACCGCGCGCGGGTGGGCGAGGTAGCCCCCGCGACGTATGTAAGAAGAAGGGAGAAGGAGAGGAGAGGCGAGACCGGAATACCAAGTGCCGCCAAGCGGAGGAGAGAAAGAAGAAGGGTGATCCATCAGGCGGGCGCACGAGTCTCCGCATCCGCGAGACGGAGTCGACGGAGAACGGCGAACGGCGAGCGGCGCGGCGACCCGAAAGCGGAAAGAGAGAGGCGAGAGGACTGGCGTCGCGGACGGACGGTGGAATGCGAGGAGCAACCGAGAGCGGTGCCGTGTAAACACGCGTCTCGAGTGAACCGGAGCGGCCCACCAGCGACGTTCGATGTCGTTGGCTTCCCCGTCTCCGTCCCCGTCCTCCTCGTCGTCGTCCGTCGTCGTCGTCGTCATCGCCGCGACAATCCCGACGGTCCGCGTCGCAGAGGTGCGGGAGGAGCAACCGGGAGACATCGATCATCGTCGCCGCCGGCGCGGTAGACACGCGTAAATGAATCCACATCACAAATGACGGTGGGCGGACTAGCGAGGTGCTGCTGGCTGGACTCGTCGACTTCTTCGTCGGTTTAACGGACAAAGAGGTGAGTGTCTTTTTCCCCCTTCGGCTTCTCCGAGGCGCCTTAATTCCTCTCTAGTGGACTCTTCGGGGGCGAAAATGGCTTCGGACGTCTCCGACTCCCCCGTCTCCGCCGTTCACGGCATTGTTTTATTGTCCCTAAGCGGTTGTTGCACCGCACGATGTTCCCGATAAGATAATTTTCACGCGATTATGTGTCGATCGCACGCGCACCACTGTCGATGACAGTTTCCGAACGATCGAGTTCCGGTGATTGTTGGGAGCTCCCCGTAGGTTCGAGCGGACGTGTCTTATTTCGTCTACGTCGCAACTGACACTTTGATGCTAATTTACGGACAGATTAATCGAGGTTTTTAATTGATTGTGCCTGGAGGTGATAAAAAAAGGCTTACCTTATGACTTCGTCATAAATCAATTTGACATGTCACAGTTATCGGATAAGACATTTTTGACGACGTAAAGTTACACGATGCTTTTTTTTTTACTCCTTACACTCGACTTTCAATGTTCTCTCCATTCTGTATATATAAATTTTATCCTTTATCTTTCGAACGATTAATTTACGTTTGTTCCGTGTCAAGTGTCGAGTGTCGAGTGCCGACAGCGCAATTAAAAAAGAGCCAATCCATCGGCCGCATATCTTGCGTTAATTATTTGCGCGAAAATGTGATAACCGCTTCCATGTACACTCCTGCGTTAAAGTTGCGTTATCAATCGCAACATCGCAATCTTTAGATTTTCACATTTTTATCGAGAGGAAAAATAAATAGTTCAAGGTAAACGTCTGCTTCTCCGACCGGGTGACTCCCCCGCGCTCGTAACGATATATTCCCACTATTCCCAGCGCAGCTTCAAAAGAGCCTCGCGTCGATGCATGTCGGTTGCATAACGGTCACACGTCGCCGGTAATGTCTTGTCGATGTATAATACATACCTTATCAATAAATAGCAGGTCCAGTCGTTAGTGTAGACGCTATATTTACGACGATATCGCGCGATAATATCGATCGCGTGCGAGGCGGGGAAACCGTTCCGGGAACCTGTCGTATCTCCGACAGATATTCGGGTGGGTCTGTCGTGTATCCGATAAATTCGCGACGACTCGCAGCACCGGCGGTGGTCCAGCGATCTCGCGCGAATGTTCGGATGGGTAAACAGAGGCTTCAATGCGGGCTTCAATGTAACGCGATCCCGCGAGGAGTTCTCCGTCTCCTTTCATCGAATACGCATCGCTCTCTATTGTGTACGTTGTGAGATGAAACAATGATGAGTTTCTCCGTGGACTATAATCGATCACCGCTTTACAGAAACTCGGTACATCCGGAGATCGCAAGATCCGGCGGAGACTCTTTCGAGAACGTTGCGAATCGTTATCGCGATCGCGATAGGAAGAATTGAACGAAACCGCTGCGAATAATTTATTCCCGATAGACGAGGGGCAGTAATAATCTTGTGGCGTATTAAATTTGCGAAATAACGCTGATATGAATATTGCATAATTTTATGCTGTCCGGGATGCGAGTGATTTTGCGCAACATCGCGATAATAAGGCTATAGGAGAAAAGGATTTTTCATTAAATATTCATCACCGGGAATAAACTGTGCTTTATATTTATTTTTATATAATAATAATGGTGATAAAGCTATCGCAGCGACGATTGGTAATTCATTTCGCCAGCATTTATTAATAAATAAATCGTATATTCCGTTTAATGTGCGTGCGCAGGTTCCAATGAATTTTATTGGGATCAAAGAATCCTAATGAAGCAGAATGGGATTTCACGAGCCACTCTCTGCGCGGACCCCTCCCTCTCTCCTGTAAATTGCATTTCTGTGAAAGTGTATCAATCGATTACATTCTTTCACCTAAATTAATATTTGGTTTTTGGACAGCCCGGCAAAATTGAATACATGAAACGTTAATTACGTACAGCTTTGGCAGAAATTACAATTCGAATAAAGCCGCAAAAGTGGCACACAACGATCCCGAATTAGCGATTTTATCATGTGTTAACGCCTATCCTTATAATATCGAATATATAAGTGACACGAACATATTAGAATAATTGATGTTTGATTAATGGAAATTAATTGAAATCAAATACGATATTTCTGGACCGCGAAAACGCACACATAGAACCATGGGAAAATACAGTTTTCGATATTTCTTCTCGTCACAGAAGTTTTTGCGATAAGTCATATTTTACAGTAATTGATATCCGATATCGTTAGAGTGAGAAAAATGATTTGATGCCATGCGGAAATGGAATTTTATCTTGTCTGAAGTTTCTGCGAATATCGGCGCGTAAAGAAATTATTAATGTGACTTGCGCGATTGTAGATATATTGCCGTATATATCTTCCACATCAAGCACGTCACTCGATAATTAGCACGCATCCTTGTCATACAGTAAAAAGTTTTCCTGTTTTTTTTATTGTTTCGTTTTGCGATCGACGATGTTTGTCAGTTATGTAATAACTTACACATACATGTAATTCGGAAAGAATAATTTTATGCTTTCGAGAAATGTCTTTAACTGAATTTAAAAAAATATTCTGTTATAAGGATTTTAAGATATTTTCGCGAGGGCAAAGGGTATAAATAAATTTTAATTGGACGACGTCACTTTTAATTCATCGTCGCTCGATATCTCTTCTCGTTTATTATATCGATAAAATTTATTTGTAGAAAGTTTACTAGCGTATGTAACCTTACATATTTTCACAAGTTTCGACAAGGTATTTATAAAGTTTCTGTTAAGTAGGTATTTTCCAAGGACTGTTGTGTGTTACCTTTAATGGAAGGACGTTTCATCTTACTGAGTTGAAACATTAAAGTGTCGGATGAAGAGCAGAAAATTTCAGGCTAAATAGTTAAGCATTATGTAATTGATCGTATGACGAAGTTAATAAAGTTTCCTGTTATCGACCGCGTGCAGACTTCTGATGTCTGCACAGCATACTTTTGTCGTCGCGATAACGCGAAAATGTTTGTTAGATCGTACCAACAGATTCGAAAACGGCCAGTCATTCCCAGATGAACTTAGCATTCCTCCACGTTGACCCTGAGGCACTTGAAAAAATTTCGCCAAATCGCTAGTTTTTGGTCGCTAATTCTGTTTGTCTGGCTTTTCAGATATTTATCTTGTCCGGCTTTTCACGTGGTTAACTCTAAGGAATTTTTCTTCTCTAGTGTATTTTTCTGAGACATTTTGATCAGATCTTTGTCTAAATTGAAAAACGATTTTTCTTTAATAAAATTTTAAAAACATCATTTCTTTCTCGAATATAAACACGATAAAATATCTTAATAATAAAATTTTTAGAAGCTTTCAAGTTTTGTTGAAGCGAGACGCGCCGGAAATTAAACAACGCTGTTTGTCTGCATCTTTGAAATTTTATTTGTTTGCTTTACTGAGAAACTTAAACGGTGCTTTCGTTATAGAAAAATTCATCTTCAAGATGCTCGAGGAGGAAAGATGTTGAAAAGGCAGGAAGTACAAGTGGGACATTGTGTATATTATATATGACATTCTTGGAGAATGCTGTGTTGCCATTCACATATGTTTCATCTCTCTGTGTTTAAGGATATGGAAATATCAAGACTTTTGGCATTTCAAGAGCTCGTATGGAATACTCAATAGAACAGAATATTTTAGAGATGTCACGCACACAATAAGCACATATATAATTTACTTACTAAATTATTATTATTGAGCGATTTATTTGCAAAATTGCATCAGCATAAATGATTAAGCCTCGGATTAAGCATAGATAAAAAAAATATTACTACAGAGATAATGTAATTCTTGATATTATTATTAAAAAAGTTTCTCGAATGACATGATTGCTAGCTTTATATATGTCGTAATATTAACTAATGATAATTGGATACATAACATATCAAATATATTTTTTGTTATCAAACGCGCATTTAAATATTTCAATAAAAAATGTATTCAAATTTTTGCAGAAAGTTATATTTTTATTGCAATCCGTATTAAATGTTTTCTAAAAGTAACTTCCGTCTTTTTACCATTGTTTTTTTACTTGAGACTGGAAAACTCTTAAATTTGTACTGAATGATAGATTTTATTTTTGCTTGCGCTTTCTCGCCTACGCGTAAACATTTGTTGTTTACTATCAGTCGGCCACGGTATTTACGCGAGGGAAACGACTAGCGCAGCAGCAGTTCGGAAGTGCAGATCAATCCGCTTGTCGAGTGCATTATCTCAAATTACACAGATCCGGTCGCGTCAAAGTAATCCGTGCCAGCTCGCGCAGTAGAAACTGTGTAGAAGTGACACTTGTCTGCGTGTTGCATTTCGAGATGAGACAGCGAGAGAAAGAGAGAGAGAGAGAGAGAGAGAGAGAGAAAAGAAACGAACCTATCAAAAATATCAGCGTCTCGCCGTCAGTAAAGTGAACAAGGAGGGAAAAAGTTTTCGGAGCAATAGAATGGCGTGGTCTCTCATGCATAGAGATCACAGAAATCTCCACCGAGCCGCGCCGGGCCGCAACACATCTCGTCCTTTTTATCTTGCTCTCGTTTTTCCTCCCCGTTGTCGGGCACTATCGCGAAATCCTTGCGCGCAATGAGATGCGCTTGAAAAATATCGTTCCTATCTGAACGAGAGATTTTCATATATTTCCGATAGCTTATCGATACCGCCTTTCTGCAACTCTGTTTACTGATATCATCTGATCAATGTCAATATGTCATCGAGTAGGTATATCAAAATGCGAACGCGGATTAAGCTTGCGGAACTGTCGGCGATATACGTATACAACCGGAATGCATTTCGTAACTTCTATCAGGCCTTAGAAGTGTGATCTTCGGTAGGGGAGAGGAGGCTACCTTGTGACACAGGCAACAGTGTTACATTGCGATTATTTTGCGATGTGTACGTTTTATGTGCAATTTTATCTGTGGTTATGCTTTATTTATGTGTAACTGAGATCATATTAATCTAAAAGAGGGATTAACACAAGAAGTAAAAAAAA